ATTATATTATATTATATTATATTATATTATATTATATTATATTATATCAATCATATATAATATAATATAAAAATTATATAATATTATAATTATATAATCAATACATAATATTAATTATATACACACATATATATAAATAAATGAGCAAGGGACTAAGCTACTTGAGAACCACTATGAGGCAAACCAGTTCAACTTAGTAATTGAGCCTTGGGGGGCCAGGACCTAGAAATGACTCAAGCCTCTTCTGACACTCTCTGGAACCCAAAACCAGGGTTTGGTGGCTCTATTCTATCCTCTGACATCTAATATCAAGCCTATTATCACTTAATTTTCCTGTACCCTCACTAAGGGAGTGGTCTCCAGGAAGTGTGGAATCAAATCCTGTTTGAGCCAAGGGCTTGGCAGAAAGTTCAATATATATTTAAATGCATAATTTTATTCTAATAAAGTGATTACTTTTCAAAGTGCTAGTCGTGATCCATTAGAGAGTATGTGAAAATAAATCCAGTTGATTATGACCACCATTTTAACAGATTATAGAAGAGGTCTACGTTCCAAACAGTTTTAACAAACGCTGCTTCAGGAAATGTCTACCTGTGCTACCCGTTACGGAAGCTGTACTGAGTCATAATTTTAACGTAAGTCAAGCTAGCATGCAAGGACAGTTTTGTTTTGTTTTAATTCCCTTAACAGTCTTTTCCTCCCTCTGTCCATTTCGTTTCTTCTGTTCTTTATAACCTCTCACCCCGTGTTCCATTCGTTAATAAATTCATTACCTAACTAGGTCCTGGGGACATGCTCAAGCTGAGAGCCCTGGAAGCTTAGTGAGAGAATAATGGCTGTCACAGCCTCCAAGAAAAGTCATGAAAGGCATACTAAAAACACACACAGGAACGCTCTTTCTCTCGGTCCCTTGCCCTTCCTCTCCATCCGGACAAAGCTCATTTACTCGCTAAGGCAAGGCTAGGGCTGCTGTCTCAGTAAACCGGCTCAGGTTGCGGCCTGTAACCCGACGGGGCCGGCCCGGAGGCGGAGCCTGGCCTCCCGCCCGCTCGCCCGCCCGCGGACCCTCCCTACAGGCCAGCCGCCACGACCGCGGGCTCGACTCACCTGGCACCAGCCACTCAGGCTCCGCCATGCCGAAGACTGAAGGAAATGTGAGTCTGTCTCTGAAAGACAGTAGGGGCAATTTGGTTGGGCCTAAGGTACTGCCGTAGCCCCCGAGAATCCCATCGCGACCCTCTTGGCATCGACCACTGCTGTGCTCACGGAAGTCAACAAACAGACGCTAGGGGCAACGGAGGCGGAGCGTTGAGGAGCGGGGCGGGGTGAAAGGTGATTGGAAGAAAGAATGCGGAAGCGGTGTCAATGCTGCGCAAGCGCAGGTGCCATTCTTCCAGCGGTAGGTGGCCGCGCGCCCTCTAGCGGTCGTGATTGAAAGAGCGGCCACGCCGCACACTGCGGATGTTGAGAGCATCTACTTCTGAGGAGTACTGCCCATGAAGGGACCTAGAGGGGATAGTGACAACATCATGCCTCTCACATAGCCCTAACTTTTGTGACACATGCAAACGTCTTCGCAGAGCTTTGACAACACAGCAACAGTCGCAATCTGTAACAGAGGTAGGCACCAAGCGTTTTACATCCCAAATGTGTTTTGTATTCCCAGAAACAAAATAAACATACTAGACGCACACTTTAGATACTTATTGAATAAATGAATAGTATTACGATTGTGTAAGTTGGGTAATGTTACTTTTATTTGCAGATCTATAGCTGATTATACATGGGAAGAGAAGCCCAGTTCATGTAGTCCTGCCTGAGTTTTAAAGAGTTGGCCTGTGTCTCCTTTTGTGGCGGAGATATATAAAATTTCCTCTATATTGTATTTTTCTGGCTAAACCTCGGTTTCTCATCCATAACAATTGGCCACAATGAAATATATAGACAAAAAAAAAATTCTTCCAGGATGAGTAAATTTATATACCTGTGAGAGTTGGATATAAATCAGTACAACTAGATTTTAGGCTACCTGAATTACTTCACTTACACTCACTCAGGGCATTTTTATTAAAATGGTGAGAAGGAATCAAATCCAATTGTTTGTTTACAAACAAAAATTGGGGAAGAGGTACAAATAACAAGATGAACAAGGAGCACCTATGTTGGACAGGGGTTTAAGAAAGATGAAAGCTTGTCTAATGAAAACATGGTGAGTGCAAGAACTGAAGTAAAAGAAACTGAAAAAGATTAGAGAACTGCGGAAATAGCCAGTTGTATGCAAAGAATCATAAAGAGCTTGGTTCTTTCCAGGACCTTGATGAGGCTGGCTCTAGGTGAGATGGTAGAGTTTGGGGGCAGCTTACAGATTGTGAATTTTTATTCTAAAGTCCATGGGAAACCACAGAGGAGTTTTAAGAACTGGAGTGATAGGAGAGGATCACTTATGCAGGTTTTTGTAGTCATTCTGCCTTTCCTGGCTGCTTTTCTGACAGGAAATTTGAGCAGTGAGAGAGAATCAAAAGGCTATTACAGATATTTAGGCACAAAAGTGGTCAGGCTGCTTGGAGTCCTGTGTTTTGGCACACAGGAAATGGTGTCTGGTTCTCAAATCCTTGAAAACGTTGGAATATTAAGTAACTTACACAAGCAGAAAGGGGGGGAGGTAGATTAACTTACTTTGAGGAAGACTTGATACCCATGTTTAAAGGCTCATAATAATCATGATGAGAAAAATCAGATTAGAGCTACCATATACACATGTAGCTATGATGGTGCCTTAGATTAGTCTCTGTCTCAGAATATTTCTTAGAGATACCAGGTAATAAATTTCAAACTTCTATCTCATGCTCTGAGTAAAGTAGCAATTAGTACTGTTAGCTATTAGTAACAAGACAAAGTTGGCTATGGTCACCATAACTGTTCTGCAAAACCCAGGCTGTCTCTACAAAAATGGAAACTCACATCTTGGCAAGAATACAAGATACAAGTTTCATTTTTATTTCTGCTCCACGCCTAGAATGGTTTGATGGCTTCACTTGGTCACAAAGATGCCTGGGCTATTGATGGAGGTGTAACAATTTAGCTGCATTAGAAGCTTGACCTCTTTGGTTACCACATGAAACCAAGAGACTGAGGCTAGAAATTCTGTGTTTTAGATCATAAGAGGTAAGTTTCTCCAGTTTTGCGCATATATCAAAAGGACAGGAAGACAAGGGAGAACCAATGGCCTTTCCATACACTATAAGAGCCTCTTCAATAATCCCTTCGGTTCTAGTGTTTGAACCCATGAAGTAAGTCATTTTTCTCATATTAGAGGGGGTAAAGTTTCGAAGACCCAGCTTTTCCAAATGGTGGTTTGTACTGTCCTATAGGGGTCATGAACCTGAAAGTGGACGGTCATAAAATGGGTGCCAATTGTGAAAGGTTTTTCAATACATACTGACCAAAAAACAAATTTAAAATCCAATATGTAATGAGCTAAGGTGTTTCTGGCATCCCTCTCCTGTGTTGTCTCCTGTGACTTTACTGCAGCCTCGCTCCCAAACACAAGACCTGTGGACTTTGCACTGTGTGTGCTGTCATGCTATGCAGTGCCAACAAACTGCTGAGATGCCTCAGCTCAGATTTGAGGCTGCTGTATGTTATAAACTGCATTGTTTTCTTGTACATACAAAGACATGATGCTTTACTTACTGGAAAAAAATCTTTTTATATTTTCTTACTGTCATTCTTCAACTTGTAAGCATCACATTAATAAACATTAGTAAAACATTGTATTGCATTAGAATACTTAATTTTTTTTTAAAAAAATCACTATTTGAATTTATGACTGAAATTTCATTTAAAAAATTATTAAATGGATTTTGATGTGGGATTAGGACATATTTTCCAAGAATTTTTCAAATGGTCTTAAGATAGTAATACCATTTTGAATTGTATATTTATGAAAATAGAATTCTTGGCATTAGTGATTCTAAAAATAAAAACATTGGTTAATTTTGAAAAATGTTGAAGATGCTATACCCTGAAATATGAAACATTAGGTCAAAAAAGAATTTTTTTATGTAAAAATAAATGAGTATGGCTGTTTTACTAGGATGGAAATTTGCATTCTTCTTTAATAAATGATAAAATGTTATGTCATTGAAAAATAACTTTCCTTGTAATCAGTTTTCAGGAAACAATTGAATTGTATTCCTATTTAACCTACCTACAAATCCAAAGTCATGTAAAACTGTGTTGGATGAAAAGGAGTCACAACTGGAAAAGATTCAGAAGCTTTGGTCTTAGGGATAATCATGTCACTCTCAAATGTAGTTATATTTGCTTTTGATGGTATTTGCATCCACCACCAAGAACAGAGACAATCCTCAGGAAATTGTGTTGATTCACACCATTCATCACACATATGAAAAAAAAATGTACAGCTCTTGGCTATTTACTGTATTACTTCTTGCTGTGAGTAATTTCTTGAGACTTTTGCATCAACTATAAATAGAAGCATGTATGAACAAGGAAGACATTTGATGGATTGTGTTTTGTTGCTGATTTTCTTTTCTTACTAGTCAGCATTCAATACAAACTTCCAAGGTTTGCATTTTGAGTCACATTACTGATGTGTCTGTACTTTGTGAACTCCATTGCAAGATCCCCAAAACAGCCAAACTGATATGATGGGTTCTAACTATTTATTTGATTTCCCAATTTTTGATAATGAAATAAAATATACTATGGTAAAACAAAAATTATCACATTGGAATTGGACAAAACCAAGAAACAAAAGGAAAAGAGCCTAAAAGAAGGCACAAGAAACAAAGATCTACTTATTCACACACTCAGGAATCCTATTAAAACACTAAACTGGAAGCCATAATATATATGAAAAGGACCTGTGAAGGCCCTGTGCATGCTACTTCAGTCTCTGTGCATTCATATATGATTTAATCATGTTGCTTTAGAGGGCCATGTTTTCTTGGTATCCTCTATAACCTTGGGCTCTCTCTGTCTCCTCTTCCTCAAAGTTCCCTGAGCTCTAAACAGGGCAATTTGATGGAGCTATTCCATTTAGGGTTGAATGTTCCAAGGTCTCTCACTCTCTGAATAATGTCTGGCCGTGGGACTCTGTATTTGTTTCAATCTGCTGCAGATTCAATCTTCATTGATGATGCGTGAGCAAGATATTGATCTATGAGTATAGCAAAATATCAATAGGAATCTTTATGGCTAATATATTGATTGGTTACTCCCAAAAAAATGTGTGCCACAATTGTACTAGCCTATCTTGTAGGAAGGAGTTCTGACTGGCATGGTGTTTATGTTTTTCCTTTGGTAGTAGCGAGAATACCTTCCTGTATCAAAGACACTAGAAAGTAGGAGTAAAGGCTCTATGTTTGTATCAGATAGACTTCCCCATGTTCAACGAGTTGTGTAGGTGTTGCCTTCATCAATGTGGTCTTGCTGTCCTTTTGTGGAGAACAACCTATAGTTTTGGCAATAGCCTGGATTTGCTTGGGAGTTCCCATGGAAATTTAAGGTCCTGGATGGTAATACCTCCAGCAGTTCTTTTATTATTCAGGATAGCTTTAGCTATCTTAGGTTTTCCTTGTATTGATGAAGCTGAACATTGTTCTTCCAAGATTTACAAAGAATTGTATTGAAATTTTGATGGGGATTACATTAAATCTGTGTAGGCATTAGGTTATTGTGCAATTCAAATGCTGATTTCTGTACTCCTCATATCTGGTTGCAATCTGAGAATCTCCTGCCTCAATGTTGTATAAAACCTGCTCCCCAATTGTCCCCTGATATGCCAATAAAGCAGCATACCACCAATCACTGAGCAGGGTTACAACAGAGATGGACTTTCTGCCAGATAGGGGAGGAGGAGGTGGAGGAAGAAGTAGCAGATGGAGCCACAGGAGAGGTAGAAGTGAAATAAGGAGAGGAGCAGGGTCAGGGAGCTGGGAGGAAAACAGATTATTTTTTAGAGATTTAAGAATAGAGTAATAACTGCTCAGTTATTGTATTGTAAAGCTTATTATTAACCAAATATATATGGGTTAAGAGAGAAACTGAGAAACAGTTTTATAAAAATAACTTTAACAAATCTGTAGGTTACTTTTGGTAGAGTGGCCATTTTTTACTATATTAATCCTATTGACCCATGAGCATGGGAGATCTTTACATATTCTGATATCTTCTTCAATTTATTCAGTGTCTTAAATTGTTATCATGTCAGTCTTTCACTTGCTTAGTTAAACCTACCCCAGG